TATATATATATATAATTTCACCAATTATAAGTTAAGATTATTTCACCATATATAAATAAGACGCATTTTAAAGAATGTAAAAATAAAAATTAGTTAGTTAAAATTAATATAATTAAAAATATAGCTATATGAAATATAGAAAGTTTTACGATGTGAAAGAATAACTAATTTATCAAAAATATTACTTCTAAAATCTGTGAAAATTACCCACAACAAAAAGAAGGAAAATAATTGGAAGGAATGAATAATTGTGCAAAGAAATTGAAAAACGAATCGCAGACCCCAAGGAAGAGAGTTATTTATGAATTGAAAAAGTAAATTACCCATGACCTACTGATTGTGTCTATCTACAATCTACTCTGCAAGTGTCGCTACCCCAGATAGGAAAAAAATATGCCGCGTGCGCGTGTATATGAAACAATTAAGATACGTACTTAAAGACGTGGGTAATAAATTAGGCATAAAGGTGTTGTGGTCTCCATGATGAATGATGTTGTAAATATCTTTTCCGAGCACATCGTCCTTTGTGTAGTTTATATACTGCGTTATGTTATCCGTAACGTACTCCACGCGGCCTTCCGTATTTACAACAAATAGAAAGCCATCTAGAGCCTGCAAAGAAGAGATACGACGTCATTGTAGCAATTATGAAGTGATGGTCCGCGACTTTTAAAAGAGCCACAAAGGATGCAATTTGCTTTCCTGTTTGACTTTCCTAATTAACTATGAATCTCATTTGCTAATTTCGTTAATACGAACCTCGAGTAAGATAGGACCGACTTGATCGTTGGACAATATGTTGGGATTCGAAGAGGACACTTCTCCTTGTTGTACGGCATGACTATTGGAACCCTCTTGTTGCCTAAAGTGCCGAATCTGTCAAAAAAAGAAAATAATTCTATGTATCGACATTTAAAAAAAATTATTTATACGCAATATTGCTGAAGTTGGTTTGAAAGAAACCGAAACATCAATCACACATCATTCAATTAATTTTTACTTAATCTAATGTG